AAATTTAATTTATTTATTTAATGCAGACATAAAAACCTTGAATAAAAACTTGATTAGTTCTTTAAATAAATATATAATAAACTAAATACATTATAAATGTTTTTGACAAAATTTTTATTTTAAAATTTTAAATTTTAAATTTAAATGGTTTCTATAGTCTCTCCAATTTAGACAATTTATGTTGTATAAGAAAAATATTTATTTAATATATTTTCTAGCCATCTAAAAAAAATTAAATAAATAGGTTTCATTATGCAGTGAAAAATTAAAATTATGAAATCTTATAATATAATTAAAATTAATAAAATTGCATATAAAAAATTTGAAAATGCATGTATTAAAATTGTTTTTTGTTGTATCAAAAATTATTTTTTTGATAAATATAAATGTTTAAATAACTTTTATATTAAGGAAGGATATTTTGGTCAAAATAGAAATTCAAAAGTCAAATTTAACGGTCATATAACAATTGAATGAATGGAAATGAAATTTCAAATATACAAGGAAGGTTTATGTAAAATGCATTTTAATTTCAAAGAAAGTTTATATATATTTTCAAAATAAAAAAAGATTTCTGTAATTTAGATAAAATAGAGAGATAGTTAGAGTATTTTACTATTTATATTTATATTTAGATTAAATGATCAAAAACTTTTAAGGGAGAATTAGAGAGAGGGACCTATATGGATGATATTTATTGGAAAGGATCATAAAAACTATAATTGTTTAGAAGGACCAAATAATAAAATATAAATTTACAAATACTGTTTTACCCCTAATTAAATCTCCTATATTCTCTCTCACCATATCCTATAATTATCTTTTTAAAAATGAAATAGTAATAACTTATTCATATTCATTCAAACTAATTAGAATTACAAAGTCAAAACCAATTCTAATTAATCAAATTAAATTAATGATGAATACTAATTAATTTATTTTTCCATCATTTTTAATTAATAAAACTTTGGGCTTTCTGAATGATGAACTTATCAAAACTATAAAAGTCAACCACATTTTTATTTATTTATTTCATACTCTTATTTTCTTTACCAAAGTACTCTTATTTTATTTCAAGACATTAATTATAAATTTATAAATCCAACCCTTAGAAATAAATTGAATCCTAAAATTACAAATTTCAAATAAAAAGTAACATATAAAAATCATTATATCAACAGGTATTTATCATAATAAAAGTAATTATAATAGTTTGAGTGCCAAAATTCAAACTTGAGTCTACCTAAATATAAAAGATAAAATTGAAAGGGCTATCTCGATAAAGTAAAATACAACATGCTCAAGTCACTTTACATTATTTCTTTTAGTCTTGGTTAGTTTATGTGATATAAAAAATTATATAAAATAATTTAAATGAAATTTGTTGCAATTCACAAACCTTCATCATACAAAGTATTGCCTCCAGTCCTAATTATAAGAGCTAGTTGACTAATTTGAGAAAATTAAGAAAAAAAGTGAAGTTAGTTATTTGTAACAAATAGATGTTGTTTTTCCTAAAATATTCTTACTAATCAAGTGTGTTGGTTAAAATTATAATTATTAGAAGGACTATTTTGAAAAAAATTGAGTAAATATGAGAGACAAAATGGATTGGGGTCTTATATTTAGGACCAACATAAACGTCAAACAAGATTTTATATTAAGGACCGGAGGTAGTATGATGCATATAAATATGTATTTCAAATAATGTCCGAAACATAAATAACATAGATAAAAGATCCAGTTAAAAAATTATTTTAATATAAAATATATATTACAAAATGATATTTATTCACGTGAAAAATTGTCAACTCATTCTTTAAGATAAAATGTAGTTTTTGTTTTTGGCCAACCTATAAACTTATATCTGAAATGATGGCCCCAAAAAAACTGCGTATGACATAAATTTAATAGAATTCATTGCATATCACCAATCTTTATCATGTAACTTCACTTTTTTTAAATAAGCAAGATCAGAAATCAACTTCGTTGAGGAGAACGTTTGAGTTATACACAACAAACTATAATTATATTAAATCAAATGTTTTATAACATTAGAAAATGATTTAATTTATTACTTATTGGAAAAATGACAAATAAAGAAGTTGAAAATTTTGATATACCAAATCAAGCATCTAAGAGTTGAAAATAACAAAGAAAGAAATGATGCATGATCTGATATTTTACAAATATAGTTAAATCACTGAAATAACCTTATATCAAAAGTTTATTAATAAGTTATGGACTAATAATGACAAGTGTTGAATAGTAAAGGACAAGAAATATATTGATAATAATAAGTTATTTATTAACAAGTTCTGAACTAACAATGACAATTATTGAATAGGTAATGACAAGAACTGTATTAGTAATAATAAGTTTAATAACTTTTTTTTTCCAAATATGATATAAGAGCATTTTAGTCATTTAACTACGTTTGTAAAATACAAGATCAGGCACTACTTCTTTTTCTGTTATTTTCAACTCTTAGGTGTCCGAATTAGAAAATGATAATTTCAGGGTTTTTTTTCTCTGGAATTTTTCCTTATTTATTTTGTTAGCAAAAAAATTATTATTTATTTTGATCTTAGTTATCCATTTAAAATTACTAGTCACCAAGATTCCCAAATTATGAATTAATTATAAAGCTTTTCAAGAAATCATGAATCTAATTACTAGAACAGACTACAAGTTGGCGCTGGTTATCAGAAAAAACAACATAATTAAAAATCATCATTCATGATAATCCATCCTTAATAAGAAAGGTCTTCAGAAAGAAAAATGATCTCATGAGTTTAAAATCATATTAAAGAGGAAGAAACAAAAACAGCGCATAATATCAACAAGAGCAAATATATATACTACCTCCTTTAGTGTTTAATATAAGACATAGTCAACTAATTTAGAAAGATTAAAAAAATTCTTAAATTACTTAATTATAATATATGATATATGATCTATATAAAATAGTTACACACATGACCCATATAAAATGCTTACATAGATTATTAAAATATGTGTCAATTTATAAGTGAGGTCAATTAGTTTGAAGAAAAATGAGAAATATCAATAGTTTAAAATAGTGTGGTAACTTTCTTAATTTTTTTTTAAATTAGTCAATTGAGTTTTATATTAAAGACTAAAGGTAGTATGTGTTTGTGTGTGTGTATAGCTTCACTATATTCATCATTCTGATCACGTGAAATAATTTTCTTGTGTTTACAAATCAATACCGAGAGAATTGGATTCACTCGCTCGATATATTCGGTGTCCCGTTGACTCGTTCACCACTCGCTTAAACTCGGCTGAATCGTGCTTTTGACTCGGCTCGCGCAAGCCTTCGAAATGTACCAAGAGTAGATGGCCAAAACCCGAAAATATAAAAAGCCTCCTAGAGGGGATTTGAACTTTCGAAGCATATGCATTTACATATATAATCAAAGACATCACATTTTTCAATATAAAATGAAAAGGCAAAAAATAAATGTGTGTATAATTTTTAACTAAATCAATGACCTATGTAAATATTATATTAAAACTCTCTATTATAAAATATTAATTTTATTTTTAAATTGACGTACTAAAAATTATAATTAACTAATTTTCAGATTATCCTTTAAATATATGAATATATCTTGAAAAATGATTTATTATATGATTCAAATCATAGTTATTATAGTTACTTTACCTTTATAGTTTATAGTCATTGGGATTAAGCATTTTTCTTATGACTTCGGAGGTGTAAAGTTGTGCATTTAAACTCTCAAAGGTGTTTGATTATGAAAAACCAATTTAAATTACTCCTATTTATATTGGGATGAGATAATAACACGAGATTTTATCTAAACATAACAGGTGACGCAGACAACTTGCCATTAATAAGATAATTAGGTAAAATTTGTGAGATATGAATTTTCTTGTAACTTTTCAAAATTATCTTTTGGTTTGGTACTACAATTTATTGGCAAGAGAGAGGACAAGATAGCCATAAATTAAATTAAAAGTAAAAAAAATAAGACAAAAATATTATTAAAGATAAATTATAAGTGTTTTATTACATTTTATATCTTAAACAAGAACCCACTTATCACATTCTTTTTTTTTTCCCACAACCACTCATCACATTCCACAAAATAGTAATCACCTGGTGTTCTTAATATAAAATCTCATTTAATTTTTATTTTAGTTTTAAATATAAAATCTTTTTTTATATTTATCAATTTTTTTAAGATATTCCTTATAATAGTAATAGTTCTAGCTAATACATTATAATAATGGTAGTTCTAGCTAATACATTTGATTAACAAAGATATTATAAGAAAAATAACACATATTTATTACAAGTAACTAACTTAATTAATCTTCATAATTTACTTAAATTAGTGAATTATCTCTTATACTACCTCCAGTCCTTAATATAAGACCTTATTTGATTTTTATTTTGATCGTAAATATAAGACTCCAATTTACTTTGGCTCTATATTTATACATTTTTTCTCAAAGTAGTCCTTTTGGTAATGATAATTCTAGCCAATACACTTGATTAGCAGGGATATTTTAGGAAAGATAACACTTATTTACTACAAATAACCAATTTAACTTATTTTTTAAATTTTTTTTAAATTAATCAATTAACTCTTATAATTAGGATTGGAAGTAGTATTAAGGAGAGGTAGTATTAATAATATTATTAATATTTTTGAAATAAGATTGGAATAATTTTAAGTCGGCGTGGGAGTCTCAAGGAGAATTAAGCGGCAAACCCGCATACGGTAAGGGGCTTCATTTCGTGGCGCCTAGTGCTCAAATTTGTTTCTTCTTCCTCTCATCTTTCATTCCTGAATTCCCTCCTTCCTTGTTTCTTTCTTCCACTTTTTAAGGTACAGAAATCCTTTGGACATAAAAAAGGCACAGAAATCGCTGTGTCTATGTTTCTCGTTTCGAATTATGCGTGTCTAAACTCAAAGTTGATTTTTAAGAAAAATGAAGTTAACATTCCACGATCGTTCTTTTTCTTTTTTTGCTTGTCACCTGGATGATTTCAGAAATAGGATTTCGTGTTAGGTCTTTATTCTGGTAATGTCTCTCGCAGCATTTTCCAAGAGATGGATGTTTGACGTCATGTATTTTACGCTTGTCTGTTGCTATTTCTTCTGTTGATTCTTTCAGTGATTGGTGATTTGGTGTTCCAAGGTGGATTGTGATGGATTCAACTTCGAGTCAGTCCGAATTCGATTACATGTTTAAGCTGTTGATGATTGGGGACTCCGGGGTTGGGAAGAGTAGTCTGCTCCTATGTTTCACTATTGATACCTTTGAAGATCTCACCCCCACAATCGGTACGATTATCGAACCCAATGTATGTTAATTCTATGGGGTTGTTCTTTGATTTGGATCTTATTTTGGTATTCCAGTACTTATCTGCTTTCTTATGTGTTGTCACATGTAGGTGTTGATTTTAAGGTCAAGCATGTGACTTTAGGCGGTAAAAAGCTGAAGCTTGCCATTTGGGATACAGGTATTAACTATTATTTTATCAGCACTCTATTTCCTAATGTTTCACATCATGCTTTTTGTCTTTTTAGGAAATCCTTTTATAAGATTGCTGATATCGTGATAAAAAATGATCATGGATGGATTTTGATTGTTTAAGTTATTGTACCGTATCTGATTATTTTCCTTCTCTAACAAATGCAGCCGGTCAAGAGAGATTCAGAACACTAACAAGTTCTTACTACCGAGGGGCACAGGGGATCATCATGGGCAAGTTTTTACCCTCTAGTTTTTGGATCTTCCTTATATACAAAATATTATATGCTGGATTTTGTAAAATTTTTATTGCACTTAATATATCTAAACCTGTTGTAGACTGTATTCTATTGATAAAAATGGTATCAACATATTCTTGTTAAGTTGGTGGCCAGAATTAGAACACCTGCGATATGAGAAGGAGAAGATGTTGTTAATCGTATAAATCTATGGTGTAATTTTCATCTAGGAATTACTATTTATAAATAAAAATGTGGTAGTTTTTTACTTATCAGTAAATTAGGAGTTAGTATTTAGTTCAGTTTTTTTGGGTTTTGGGATATATTATCTTGCATTTATGTTTTATTGGAATTTTAATTGTGTTTCATCCAAGTTATGATTTTTTGAGTTTTACGAGATCATATTGAAAAATTTAAACTTTTATGCCCTTGAAACAACTTTTCTACATGTTAAACACTTGCAGTATGAAACACTTAAACTACAGGAAGCGCATGTTTGGCTTCTTAGTAAAGTTTATTGTCTTCTATCTTTTTGATTCATGGCAATTTAATGAACAGACTGGAATTCCTCCTAAGATGTAAAATATTGGTTGGTTTCATTGTGTAATGATGGATATTTGAATTAGATGCGATGGAATAGATTGTCATGGGTTATGGGACCCTGTAGTTCGTACTAGAATTTCACTTTTGCATTTGCTGCTGATCTTTATATTTTACTCCTTATACTGATGCAGTTTATGATGTAACTCGACGAGAAACATTTACTAATTTATCTGAAATATGGGCAAAGGAAATAGATCTTTATTCAACAAATCAGGACTGCATCAAGATGCTTGTTGGGAACAAAGTGGATAAGGTATCTTTTAAGAAGCTCACAAGCATAAGCTGCTTCTTTTTAAGAAGCTTTGAACGACGTCTTGATCAATAAGTGATTTTCTACTGCAAATTTCTGCCTGGTGCCTGACCTAAGGTCCAGTCTGCTATTTTTGATTCACTTGAGTATTGCTGTTCCCTTTATTTCTGCTTACAATGTTTAATCCTCGGCTGTTAAATTCTAAATTTCTGGCGAGTCTGGATTGACAGTTAATGCATACGATTAGGAAAAGTTGGACCATAGAAAAACTGTCGGGCACCGTTAGAGACAGGCAAATCTAAAATTGACTAGGAGAAGAGGGGCAGATCTCCTGCCATTCAATTTTTCCAGTTCTCTCCGGGTTTTGGATGCCTATAGAGAGAAAGTACGTTGGCTATGAATTTGAATATTAATATGGTAGCATTCTGTTGTGACCCTGCTTTAATATTCAATAAACCTGAAACCAGACCAGCAAAATGAAACAGAGCAGCAATAAATGAGGAAAATCCTGAGGCTTTGATATTAGTATTTCAGAACTGAATCAAAGATACAACAAGCTTCCGTGATTCAAGCCAAAGCCCTATTTCCCCCTAATACCAAAATAGATCACAACAGCAACTAGCAAACAAAAGGTTACACTGGAAATACAATAAACGCGGCTAACACAGCGGCTCTCCCATGGCATTCGAGAGGCCAGGTCTCTCCCTCACAACTCTTTTCCAAAATAAGTCCTAAGGCATTTCAGTTTCATTACGAAGCAACATAGTCTACCAAAAGCAGTCCTACCCCGCCTACAAGGTTTAAGACTCACAAGGCTAGTAGCTAGCTGCCAATTAGAGTTGCTCCTCATTTCCTGGAGCTCTGGGATAATTGTTTTGACCAGTGGATTTATCTTCTTCCCTTGGTTGCTTCCTTATTTTCCTCCCATATGTCTTCTTAATGCCTGCAGTTATATCACATTCCAACTAATTAAAATAAACAACCCTTCTTGACTTCTATATTTGTTTCTTTTCTGACTAATGAATTGTATTTGAACTTTGTACTTGATATGTTCTTGCGTTCCATAATGGGATTAAATGTGCAAGAGGGTGAGACCATTGTTTTGCAGGAGGGTGATCGAGTTGTATCTAAGGAAGAGGGAATAGACTTTGCCCGAGAATACGGATGCTTATTTATTGAATGCAGTGCTAAAACTCGAATTAATGTACAGCAGTGTTTTGAAGAGCTTGTTTTGAAGGTATGTTGCCCGTTCCTGAGCACATTTGGGGCTTTTATTCGGATGCCATATAAATTCCTTATGCACAAAAAATTAAATAGAGCCAGAAAAATTGGTGGGGGGGGGGGGAAATGGAAATGGCCGGAAGCTACTTTTGAATTTGAGAATATGTATTAATATTCTTGTTGTGGGGAACAATAGCTGGATGACATAAAATGGTTCAAGTGATGTTGCATGTTGTTGCAGATCCTGGATACGCCTAGTCTCTTAGCTGAGGGCTCCAAGGGGCTCAAAAAGAACATTTTTAATGACAACCCTCCTCAAGATGATGCATCCACTAGTAATTGTTGTTGATGTTTTTGCACTAGCAGCACAAGGTTACAAGCAAGATCGACCTATCATTTATAGGGAGTGTTACTGTTGTGCTTTAGATTTAAAAAATCACATTTTTAACACGTTTATTGATTGGTTAGGGGCTCCACAAGTCATTGTTCACATTTTAGCTTCACATATAAGGTTCTTGTCTGTCATGACTCGTAATGTCAAATGTAAAAGTGCAATGATTATTCTTTTATGCATTGATGAGTTGAAAACTTGGTGGATATAATGTGATGTAATGGAGGATTTGTTACCCAAAAGTAAAAGCAATTGTACATCATAACTACGCAATGATTTTCCTCCAACTTTCGATCAACTTTTTTTTTTTAACGAAATAATTAGTAGATAAGCTTGTTTCTTGGATAATTGTAGGGGAGATAAGATCATGTAAAAAGTTTTACTACTGAAGTAAAATAATAAATAATGTGTGAATTAATGAATTATAGAGTTTAGTATTACAATTATAATTTGTATAAACTATAGATAATATTTTTTTTTGGAGTAAAACAAAATATAGATGATATCTTGTTTTGATCAATGTTGATATCATCATCAATATTGATATCAATCAATGAATTATCGTCATCATAAAATATGAAATTCATAATAATTCATACTACTTTCATGGTGTGAATAGTTATTAAAAAAAAAAACTTATCGTATGTCATTTGTGTAGTGATTTGATCTGATAACCAAAAAATTCATTAATTTTATCAATTTAGTCTTGGCACTGCAAAATTGAGGGAAAATATTTACGTTCGGCTTTAAGGTAAGATACATCATTTAATTAAGTGAAAATTATTTTGCAAGTATCTGTAGTTTTTCTCAATTTTTAATTTGGTATTTGTGTATTTCTTTGTACTTAAACATTGTAATTTTGCTCTGTTAACATAAGTAGTTTTTGTATAAGAGCTAATGATACTAATGAGGCAAGTTACAAAAGCTCTTGATTAAGAGGAAAAAACACACATTAAAAATTAAAGAAAACTACAGATACCTACGAAATGGTTTTCCCTTCAATTAATATCACATTTTTACTCACAAAATTTGGGAAAATATTTTTTAGATTAAATAGTGATAGAATATACTTATTTTTAAATCTAACTTAACAAATTGGAAGAGATTGGCTTTAACGAACATAAATTTAAAATTATACACCTATACTTCCTAAGACTCTAAATACAAAAATTAGACAATTAATCTGTAAATATTAAAAATTATTAGCTGAGTTATTTATAAAAAGGTTATCTATTGTTTCCTTAAAATATAGTATTTAATTTTTTATATTGAAAACTACTCATATCAATAAAATTTTTCATTTAATATGTACAATTAATAAAAATTGTTTTAAAAATAAATTTAAAAGATAAGATAATTAAAAGTGTAGGACTGAATTTAAATTTAGGTATTTTAACCAAATTTAATTATAAATTTTCCAAACTAAAATTGCAAAATTAACTTTATATTCATATCTCGTTCCTAAAGTCGCAACGTGTTTAATACATTACTTTATAATACGTGTGGACGGAGGATTGTGTAGTACGGAATAAAATCAAAAAATGAGGTTATCATCGCATCCTCGGCTCTGGGAAGGGAACGTCATTTTGGCTGCACGGAGGATCTGTTTTCGATTCCGAATTCGCAACTATGGGTGCGTCCTGCAAAGCGCCACACATTTCTTATCTTCCTTCTCCCCTTCTTCGACGAAACCCCAGATTCAGGATTCAGAATTGCCATACTCCCAATTCTAGACGCCAATTCCCAAACAGACGTTTGTTTCTCTTCTCTCTTCCACTCTCTGGTTTCCTTCTCCTTCCTCATAAATTTCAGTCTGGGTCTTCCTATGCTGCCGATCAATATGATCCTGTTACTGCGGTTGAAAAGGATGCGAGTGCTGTAATATCGCGGAGAGTTTCAGAAGCTGTGGAGTTGTTGGAGAAAGGGAGGGAATTGCAGGCTCAGGGTGACTTCAATGGCGCTCTTGCCTACTTTTCTACGGTAATAATCCCTCATCCTTTTCCTTTTTGACTTCGTTTGATAGTCTGTTGATGTCAGAGGAGCGTTCTTGATTTTCCATTTGATTGTATGACTACAAGATCTTAAAAATAATTCTTAGTTTTGATGACTGACCATGGTGTTCTCTCCCCCCAATCTTCTTCCTTAAGGGTAAGTGCACAATTTGGTATCTAATTACAATTCTTTAGCATTCCCAATCCATATTGTATTGTAAATTACATACAAGATCCGTCTTAGATTTAGGAGATTTAGGACAGGAGGATTATCTACCATGATGGTGTGATAAACGAGTTTAAACCTTTTCTATTATGGTATGATTGAGCCAAATGATTTATGTAAATGTTAAGTTTTATCAGGTGTTACGTGGTTCATTTTAAACCCCATGAAAATACAGACTCATTCTAGTTGATTGTATGCAGATAATTTAAAGCCTTTATAGATGCGCCATTAAATGAAATTCATAATTTTGATGTGGAGCGCCAAACCTGAATAACACGGTTGACAGGACATAACACCAAGTGTCATTGAGTTTATCATTGAAATTTATGTTTTGATTTTCCTAGTGATCTGTACTCAAGTATACATACAAATATGCACTTGTTATAGGTTATTGAAAACTACAAAGACTTGGCATTGTCAGACTATGCTAGGGTAGGAAGAGCACTTGCGCTGTATGAAGTTGGTGACAGAGAACAAGCTATAGCAGAAATGGAAGATGTTTCAATATCTCTAAAAGGCTATCCGGGTAAACGCCTTGAATCATTATGCTTTACAGAAGGAATTTTACAACCTTGTTCTAATACTGTATTTTTGTTTCCCAAAACCAGAGGTTCATGCAGCTCTTGCTGCAGCCTTGTACACAGATAAGCATGCCCCTTTGCTTGCAGAGAACCAGTTCACCATTGCTACTCTGCTTGATCCACATTTTTCAGACCTCTCTTATGTCAGAGACAGAAAGCACTGGCCACCAAGTTTGATCAGTTCTCTGCAGCAATTCATTACACTATCCTAGGAATCCGTAACTCTATTTCTGAAAGGTTCCCCAGTAGGTTCTGTTTACAAAAGATATATAGATCATATCAACCATGAGATGAAAGGACACATAGGTAAGTTAATCTATTTGTGTTCTGCGAGAGGAGTCTATATATATAAGCTATGTTGAATGTATACGTATTCATCGCATACTTAGCAGTGCCAAGCTAAATCAAGGCGTTTATAGAAGCTGCAGGTCAACACGCGCAAATGTAAATGAACAATTTTCCAGTGGTTAGTTATACTGAAATGTAATTCATTATCTTTCGTATATTTTTTTATTTGTCTCTGCTCTAAGTTAAATTGACCAAAGGAGCATATTTGAAAGAAGTGTTTATACGTCGCCTCTGTATTTGAAATGGTACTGTTAGCTGGCAAACTTAGGATTTGTTTGGAGCTTTGTTCAAAACAGACTTTTAAGCAAGTTCATATAAGTTAAGACAAAACTCTTCTCACATACTTACTTCGTATTCTATAAATTATGTTTGAAAAATTACTTATAAGTCAATCCAAAAGTCCTTAGCAGTTAAGCAGAAGACCAGGACTAATCGGAAGAATGGCACTTGCTGAAGTTCAATCCTCTTAGATGTTTGGTTTAACTTATTTTATTTTGTTTTGTATAAGATAAATATATGATGAGAGTTTTATATCGTAATGCACAAAAGTAATTTTTTCTGAATGTAGTTCAACTTTTTGAATTTTGTTGTAGTTGAGAGGGTGGATACAAATATATTGATGCTGAATCCTCTTTCGATAGGTACCGTTTGTAACAACAAAAGGTTATAAAGGTGGTTGATACGTATACAATAGGAAACAAGTCATACAAAAAGGTCGATGAGTTCATAATAAGAAAAAAGTTGCATAAAAAAAGTTTGACAAATGTGCGAGTAAGCGGCGGAAATTATTAAGAGGAAAAGGTGGGGATAGTAGGGAGGATTGTGGACTAGACGATCTATGTTTTTCTTCTCTCTCTGGACCTGATATTTGCCCATTGTGCAAATTTTCAAAACATTAGGAATTAAATCACAAAACTTCACTAACTAATGAATTAACCCAATTCAATTCCGAACTGCAAAATATATTCAGTTAAGCACTTAAGCTAGAAAGCTATACATAAACTAAGCATGGAGGGCATAACATAAATATTTTTTTCCTTGAAAAAAAAATGAATGTTATCAGTTAGACATCGCTAGTCATCTGCCTCTAAATTTCCTGAAGACAACTGGTAAGCTCTAAACTATGCCTTGGTGGGAGGCTGAACACATCCACAAAAGGGTGCTTTCTTCCTCTTGTGGATAACCGTTCTTGATCTCGTCCCTCCATAAAGATAATCTCGCAGAAGCACCCTAGCACTTCGATCAGCAGTCATTCTTGCTTTTCCTGTACTTTGTTTCTCTTCGTCAAGCTTCAGAAGCAGAAATTGCAGTCTCTGCACATCCATTTGAAGCTTTCCTATTTTTTCCGATGCTCTCCGCGCTTGTTCTGCGGCTCTCCTTCTGCTTCTATTGACGCTTCCGCTGCTCTCGTCGGAATCTGTTCCCCCTGCTCGCTTCCCCCCAAACGACACCGTTCCGTCTCTTACTTTCCTCAACAACTTCCGGTTTCCGTCAAACAGCTTTGTGATGACTTCTTCAGAAGCTTCAAGCTGCCGTTTAACTGTATCGTACTCAATATCCTTCCCCATTGGGATTTGTTTGGTGATTTCTACCTTCTTTATCAAGTCTTGCACGACGATGTGAAGGTTTGTGAGCTTTTGTGCATCGGTGTCAAGTTTGTCTAGAAGCTTCCGCTTGCTGTTTTCGTCACGGCCCTCTGTGAATCTTCTTGAATTTGAGACCTCTAATTTGTCCACGCTCAATTCCTTTTCAGTCATTGACTCTGTGGAGGGAATTTTAGTTCTGGATTCCCTGCTTGCTCTTCTTTGATGGTGGCTCGATGGTCTGGTAGCCGTTTTGTGCGCCTTTCCGACAGTTAGACCAATGCTGCTATTCCTATCTGCAGTTTCCCATAGCTCGAGCATCGGATCATCAGCATCAAGAGTTTCTCTTCGAGTTAGCCCGTACGACGAACATTCTGACATTTGATCAAGCATGATGTCTTTGGGCAGAACCTCGTTGTCTGCGTACTGGATTGTTGGCAATGATTTCCTCATCACCTTTTCATCAGTGAGTTTATCCTCTGCTTCATCCACTAGAGTAATATGCTTGCTGATTTGAATGTTTTCTAGGTGTCGGCTGCTTCCAGATTTTGGTTCTTGAATCTCCTTGAGTTTGTCCTTCCGTCTGAAACTTCCATTCATTTGTTTCACAGCCATTTCAATCGCATTGATCCTTTTCTGTATGTGTTGGAAGTCTGGGAGGGAATCTGGTGCCGTGATGAGATCTCTGCTCATTTGTGCACTGCCTTCAGCGTATTGTTTTTTCGCCAAATTATTAGCCTGGAAACAGTGAGTGCAGGCCATTAAATTAAATCCAGAAAAAGAAATGCGTGCAATCATCTACGCTGACGTGTGTGTGTGTGACCACCGTATTATATAGTATGTATTATAATACATAAACACACACATATACAAACATTTCTTTTAATATAAAAATTTAACAAGCTTGCAGCTTATTTCTCATATTTCATGCAATGCATGAAAACCAAATAAAAATAGTAAAATAATTTTCCTTTTTTATATGCAAAGCTAATCAGCTTTCACTCAGGCAAAGGAAAACTAACTGAGCATGCTTCATCTTATAAGTGAATGGCAACCCAAGCCATCCGTTTAGGGATACGATTAGAAGAAAAGTTCATAATTGTAGGATCGCACTAATATCCCGAACTTCCTTCCCTTGCCTTTCCCACCAGAGCTGTAGAGCATAATTGCATAAACAACGAGAGACTTCAACCATGACCAAAAGAAAAGGCTTGGCCAAGATTTCAAATAATATATCCAAGAAAAGTAGGCATGCTATCCGGAGATTTTAAATCCCCAACCCCCCCCCCCCAAAAAAAAAAAAAAAACCGACTTATGCAGTTTAATGGACAAAAGCAACCATGAGCTCAAGCAGGGGCATCTAACTGGCGCCAAACCTGTCCCGTGGTTTCCCTTCCCCCACTCGCATAGAACCACAAACACAAATTACCCTAGTGGCAGAACCAAACACTAAGAGTTTGTCAATACCTTTTCTTCTGCGTTGTCATGAGATTTTGCCAGTACGAGAGTCTGCGTCTCCAATGATGATATACAATTGTCCAAAGCACTGACAGCTGGGCCAAAAGAAGCCAACCGATCACGCAGTCTTCCATTTTCACTTTCTAATTCGCTAACTCTGTGTTTCAGCCTTTTACTTTCCACACCTGTGGAGGTCCTTCCCTTTTCAAGTTTCCTACATGCATCTGCTAGCTCACAGACCTTTCCTTTAAGTACGGTTTCATTGATGGTAGAAATCTGCAATTCAGCATAGAGTGTGGCGGCCAGAGTTTCGCACTGTCCAACCTCTTTTTCAAGGTCATTATGATTTGAACAAAGTTCATCAAGATCTTCACCTAACTCCTCAAGTGCCAGGAGTTTTTCAAAGACTGTGTTTTGGTAGACCACAGAAACAATAGATTGAGCTATTGTCTGGGAAATCATGGCACGGATCTCTTCTTCCAGATTAAATTTCTCTTCATTAAGATCTACGAATCTTCTCATCAATGATGTTTTCTCTTCAAAAGTTTTGCATCTTTCTTCCTTTAAGTCACTGTACAACTCATCCAAGTCTGACAGCTGCCTCCGCAAATTCTCTATCTCAGTTGCCATTACTCGCATTCTCTCTTCTCCCTTGCTCATTGTCAAATTCAATTCCTCATTCTTACCCAATATCTGTTGCAACTCTGCTTGTAATGCCATGAATTGCACAGATTGGTTCCTCAACTCCTCATCCCGGTCAGTTCTTTCTGTCACAAGCTCTTGTACCCTTGGTTCCAACTGCCCCAGTAATGCAACAAGAACCGAATTTTCAATAGCTAGTTTCTGGCTTTTGTTGAATTCTGTAGCTAAAGAATTTTGTGCCTCCTGAAGTTTGCCATGTTTAGGATTCAGAAGCCTCTGCTCTTCTTCAATTATATCTCCATAGAAATGCTCACGGTTGATGTCAAGAGACTTCAGAACCTGAAGCAACCCATTCCTTAGTATTCTAGTTTTTTCACACAAAGAATTCATGTCAGCCTGCATTTGATCATTTTCTTTCTTCAATTCAGATATCAGCTCTTCAGACATTTTGGATGTCTCCGAGCATCTCTGGTATTCAACAAGAAGGGAGAAGCTCTTTTTCTCCAAATCCCGGATAGACTTCTGTAAGATGAAATTTTCAATTTGAGCGCTTACAGCTCTATCTAGTTCATCCTCATATTCCTTTTTCTGGCATTTTGCATCATCTTGTAGAACATGAATTTCTAATTCCTTCTCAGCCAATTGAATTTTATTGAGTTGCACAATTCTGGAATGCTCTTCTCTCTCAGCATATAAGGAAGACAGTAGCTCGTTTACCTTTTGAAGTGCAGATTCCTTTTCTCCTTTCAATTCCAAGTGCTTCATCTCCAATTCACTACGTTGTTTCTCTAGATTTTTCAGTGTTTGCTGAGTGGTGATGAACTGTGAAAGAAGAGTGTCTTTCTCAGAAATGAGACTTGAGTTCTCGTGATCAAGTAACTCGCATGAGTCCTCTAAGATTTTTGACTTTAGCCTTAGTCCTTCAAGTTCAGCATTTACATCAAATAGAGAATTTTCCAAAAGTTTGTTCTTTTCTGAAAGCTTTTGTAGCTTCTCAATTGTAGCCTGTAACTGAGAAAACAAAGTGGCCTTCTCAGAAGCAAGGGTGGATTTCTCCACAAGTAGAGACTGGCATGTTTCTTCTAACAACTTTACGTTTCCTCTAACACACTCCAACTCCTTTTTCAAGTTGGAAAGGGAATTTTCCAATACAGCATTTTTTCCCACAAGGTTATCCATGATCTCTAGTTTTTCAAGAAAAGCAGCTTTCTCGCTTCTGTCAGCCTCACATGTCTCCTTCAGCTTTGAGTTCTCATCCTGCAAACTCTTAATTGATGATAAAAAGCACTGTGGATCAAGCCCATTTAACCCCACCTCGCCCATCGTAGCTTCGTGTCTTTTATTGGCATTGTTGAGCTCCTCTTTAAGACAGAAAATTTCTTGCTGAAGAGAATTTCTTTCCTCCACTCGCAGTTTGATCTCCTGTTCGAGTTTTGCTATTTTGTCCCTCAAATTTGATATCTCATCCTGCCAATTTCTAAAGGACAACGATGAAGATAATTGGAGCTCATGCAGACATTGGTTTTCCTCCTTGACCCTTTGTACTTCATGCTCTAAAGCCTTCTTACAGCATTCAACATTTTCCAAAATTTCAGCCTTATTATGAAGTTCAACAGCTAGAGATCTAAGCTCTTCCTGAGATTGAGAATGCAAATGTTGAAGATTTTGGAAAGCGGTTTCAGCCTCCTTGAATCGTAGTCGCTCCTCTTGTACGCAAGTCCACAGCCTACCCAATTCCTTTTGCTTCTCGTTAAGTTCTTCACTCTGAGAGCCAATCTTTTGGACTAAAGACTGCAATTCAGACTGAAGAGTATGATTAGATGTTTCTAGGAAAAGACGCTTCTGTTCAGAACTCTCTAACTTTTCAGCCTCATCCTGTACATTACAAGTTAGCCTGCGCATCTCCTCTTCTGCACAAGAGAGTTTATGCTCTAAGCTGGAAATTATATCCAAGCATTGCTGATAACGGAGAGCAGCATCATCATGCTCGCCTGTAAGCTTAGCAATTTCCAGCTTCATGGCGCCGAGTTCATTTTCAGCATTGTTAGCTTGCTCATTAATCCTCTTTGCATTCTTCTCAGCTTGCATTAGTCTCTCCTCCAATTTTGATGATGTCTCCACGCACTGTTTATATTGATCAAGAGCAGCTTCTTTTTCAGCTTCTACTCTAGCAAGGTCCTGCTTGAGTGAGTCAGCTTCTATTTCTGCTTTAGTAGCTCGTTCATCAAATTCTCCTGCATCTTTCAGAGCCGAAGAAATTTTGTTCTCCAGGTTCGAAATTTTCTCCAAGCACTGCTGGTACTGAACAAGACTAACTTCCCTTTCAGCCTGTAATCTGATGAGCACATCCTTCAAGGTTTGAACTTCAGTTTCTGCTTTACTTGCTCGTTCGTCAAGTCCTCGAGAGTTCTCCTGCGTGTTAAAAACTTCTGACTCTAGATTTGACAGTCTCTCCATACTCTGCTGATACTGAAGCAAGCCAGCTTCCCTTTCACCTTCTAATTTAGCGAGGGCTTTCTTCAAGGCCAAGATTTCCGTCTCAGTTTTAGCCATCCGTTCAGCCTCAGACAAGCCTCGAATCGCAGTATCATTGCTCTGCTCTCCGGTGTCAAGAAAATTAAGCCCCTTCCGAGCTCGCCCTTCTGCAAATTTTCCATTGCTCATATGTTCACCAGATGCAAATGGATCATTGAACTGCTTTAAACCCCTTGCACTAATAACAGAATCAGATTCTTCGATAACAGCACCGTTTCTCTTCATATCATGAAAATGAGATGGAGAGGTCACAGAAACATCCTTGTGCAATTGATCTGAGTCAAGAAATGCACGTGAAGGGTGGGGCGTCTTAGGAGTACGTGGCTCAGAATCATCAGGCGGAATCGGAGGAACTTGGTTGGGGAATGCCTCCGCCATGGTGTGGTGAGCCTGACGGATCACAACGGTGGCATGATCATATCTCTCGGCCAATGCACGGTATGCCCTGTAAAACTCTTCAACCAATTTCATGAGCTCCGGGCGTTTCTTATAATACATTTCTGCCCTCCTTGCAAAGGAATCTGCATCTTCTTCAATAAGCTTGATCATTTGCCTCACCTTCACATCCATATCTGTTAAAGAGGAGAGAAATAGAAAGCATTTCAACATCCTATAGCTATTAATACTATTACGATGTTCAACGTTTGGAAACAGAAATTGTATAAGCAGTGCTTACCAGAAAGGTTTTCCTGGAGCCATTTTGAGTTCTTGGGGCTAATATGGCTGTCCCACCACCATGAATACATTCCCTTAGAATCTGCATGGGCCACAACGGCCATCGCTCAACCCAGCAATAACACTCACTTATATTAGGATGTTAGATGTTGGACCTTATATTCTGCGGAAAATCGAGGAAGAAGATCAGAGCGACGCCACAAAATAGGTGCATTTGACTACTAAAGTCGACGGAAACTATGAGAAAGTCTCTTGTTGCTTGCATATAAGCAATACAGAAGGGATGCAAACATTCAGTTTCAGATAAGTCCTTGTATTAAGACGGCTTGGAATTATGAAAAATCTTAAAATAAGAGATCCGAAAAATTTGAAATTTGTTTCTGGCACGTTATAACTAATGCAATAATATTATTTTTTTTCACAAAAAAATATAAATATAAAATTATTAAAACAACTGCACGAAAATTACCTGGTCAATCGAACCCAAGCTGAAGGCTGAAATATATGATATGGTGGGATTAGTGCAAACTACCTGATCAAAGAGAAAACTCACCAATTAGAACAATGGAAAACAAATAAGTATCAGAATCCTACCAACAACACATTCAAACATTATACTCAATTGCGGCAAAAAATAACGAATTGGCCGTTTGTCTTCAGTTTTTAGCCAGCATTAGTACGACCATGTATGGGATAAAAACCATGTCCATATTATTCCAATCACCTGATGAATCAAAGCCCACCGAAGTAATATACCACAGAGAGAGAGAGAGAGAGAGGAGTAGAGATGGAGATGGAGAAATCAAACGGTCAAGTGAACCAAGTGTGGAAACAAGAAGGTTACAGGCATGGGTGAGAGATAAACTTTCGAAGAACCCCAACGAAGAATCTTCCATAACGAATGGTAAAATTATGTAATTCAGTACCCTGTACCCAGATAACTCACCCGGGGGTAAAAAACTTTCACTGTTCCGTTACGACTACTACCAGCGGCGGCGAACCACTTCAGCTGCTATTCTTTCTTTTTCTATTTTTCTTTTATTTTCTTTTGCATTTTCCTAGATCACCCCATGGTGGCCAGATCTTTCTTTGCACACTGTTCTCTGTGTTTCTGTCTCCCGCTCGCTTTTGCGCTTTATGGGGCAGTATGGGGTCGTCCTGAACGTTTGAGTACTGACAATGAGAAAAGCAAACAACCAACACAAAAAAGTGGACGGAAATATAAAACCATCCGAAACAAAACATAGTAATTGAGTCATTTGAAATTAATTACCATTTTCAGGATCGACATGAATCTGATACTCCATTTATTTCCTAAATCAGACTTCACCGGTAATCAAGTCTTCCTGCATGAAGAAATTCAGATGGAGATTTATGGGATGATCGCTTTAACTTTTCGAAAAATGTGAAAAATACGTGGACGAAACATTGAGGTGACGTGTAAATTTTCAGGCTGCATTTTAAAAAGTTGGGTATGTGGAACTTGGCGAAATCAACGGACAGCATCAAACTTGATGAGAAGGTAAAAGGAAAGATTCTGCGATACCAAAATTTTGAGAATGGTTGCCGACTTATTCCAAAGAAAATATTCCAATTTGCGACGATTGAGGTTCTCTTTGATTGAGTTCAAAGCAACGGTACTAATTTGCTAGAGAATTGGCGGAGCAGTAACTGAAAAGTAATTCAACGTTATCCTCCAAAATTTGTTTGGAATTGAATCTCCGTTAGACTCGAATGTAATTATTCCCCATGCACGGCTATTCAGATTTACATACTTTATTTTTGCCTCTGCTATCAATGATGTGTTCATCCAAGATCGATTTTTAAATAAATATTAGTCAGTAAATTAATAAATAAAAGTAACGTCTACCATAAGTTATACAGTGTTTATAAAACAAAAAGCAAATCACAAGGTAAAATTATATTATATTTAGAATTACAATCTGTATATAACATTTTTTTTTTTAAAAAAATCAGAATCATATTCATACCTTCAAATTCTTGGAATGATATTCTGAAAACTAAGCAGATGATATTTGCTTCATTTCTACGTCTTGAAACGTGAATCGATAGAAAAAACAAGAGAAGCAGAGAAGATGAGGCGAGGATGAGAGAGGAGCGAAAGCCAAACCTTAGGCACGTATAGTAGTACAGAGGGGCGGAGATGAGAGAGAAGAGGAGGCGCTGTTGCGGTGGATGCGACTGTGCAAACCTCCGCGTGGTGGCCGAGTAAACGAGTGGAGAAGTCGCGAAAGGTGAGTGAAGCTGGACGAGTCGAGAACGAGTGTGAATCGCTAGAGAGAAAAAGACGAGTGCGAAAGGGAGAGGAAAGGTATAGTGTGGGGAGCGTGAGGAGCGAGGTCAGTGATGACCACTGGAACTAATGAGTGGGGAAAAGCGGGGAGTGGAGATATAGTTTCATTAAGGCTGGGGGGGGGGGGGGGGCGAAATGTGTGTCATAAAGAAACGAAACAAGGGAAGGCAGGTGTGAAGAGAAGGCGTGCACATGGGAATTGGGATTATTTAAAAAACGAAAAGGAAGGAGGACAGGAGGTTGGAGAGGCCTGAGTGTGGCCCCCACAGAATGCTCATGCTTTAACCTACCGGCATCATGACCATCACAATTCACAGGACCATCAGGATGTGTATGCTAAGATGAAGTTTCGGCTTTTGGCACCTTCCATCCATTATATTTTGGCATGCATCACAGTCCCCTTGCTCCTCTATGGGGGCATGACCCACGTCGCCATCCCAGTCATCCTTCTTCTCTTTTACTCAACACTTTGATGTATACTAAAAGTAATCCTATTCATATGCAGAAATCTCTGTTAGGAGACTCACCTACCACAGTCAGGTACACGATGCGGGTTGGATCTAGATGTAGTCGGAGCAAAACTCTAGTGAATTGGATGGGCAACCAAAAAAAAAAAGTAATCCTATTCAAGACGTTACCGGCATTAAATATGAATATCTCTTTTAGTAAAAATTTGAAGATTAATTCGTTATGTCACGAGAGACTAACTTCCCCTCTAAACCCAACCTCCTGGAATCAATGACTCACGAGATTGTGAATTGGTGAATACCCTGGGAAGCTCCCACACAGGCACACACCCTAATTTGGTTTCATATTTGTGGGGTTGCTTTTAGCTGCCGCTGAACCCGGAGGAACGGAGCTCTATAATTCCAAAATACCAAAAACAAACAGAGCAAGGACAGGGGGGGGGAGAGAGAGAGAGAGAGTCAGAGAGTGTGTGGTGACTGGTGTGTGTTATGTGGTAAGCCTTATTAAAGCTGCCTCCGGTCGCCGTTGCTTTTATAAAGTCAATGCTCCTTTACCCCTTTTACCACTGTTCACTCTCTTCACTCCAATAATCATTATTCCTCCCATTTCTTCTTTCTTTAATCATCCATCCATTAACTGCCCTAATTACTGCTCCCTACAATCCTTACCAATCTTCATTCACTCTGTCTCCGGAAGGAGTAATACCTTAGTATTTATTCAACATCACCAAGAATAACAAGGTCAAATCCATGCAGACATGTAGTGCATGCGGAAAGAAAATGTATGTGAGACAATATCCACATCCACATTTAATGAATATTACGAATTATTATAATATCTGTTATGTAATGTGTACGTGGAAATGTTATGAAACAAATGGTCCTCCAGCCACATCCAAATTTAATTAATTGTTCTCGGTTTAGTGCCTTTACTTACTCACAAAAGGATCTATGCACATCATCTAGGATTTATCTCAATGTTATCTGTTTTATTTGAGGTTTTATTAGATATTAGACGCAAACACCTCTTCTATTAAGTTCTAGATCATCCCCTCTACTTTCTTATAGGAGCAATCAGAGATATTCTATTCTAATAGTGAGAAGTGGAACTGCATCACACGAGCAAAGACAATATTAGATGCGCCGATTTTCTTGTGCGAACTAGGAAAAACAATTCTTTTGAAGTAGTGATGATTCCGGAAGTGCTAGATGGGTGTGTAGAGCTAGTTTTAGCTAAAAAGTGTTACTGCCGTCAATAGGGTCCTATGAATTCTTAAGATGACGTCTGAAACTTATTGACTTTTCATCTAAAAACCCCTAGTTTGCAAGGTTATGAGAAACTAGTCACTTTTGTTAGATCCAACCCTGTCATTATTTTCATGAATCTCATAGTTTGTTTTTCATCTTTATTGCCAATAAAGAGTCACTTTGTTTTAATCCCATTGCTCCGTAATACTCCTCCGGTCCTTAATATAAAACCCAATTATTGAGTTGGTTTTGGTCCTAAATATAAGACCCATTTATCATATTTATCAATTTTTTCTAAATTACCCCTATAGATACTCCTTCAACCATAATCAAATAGAAGAAGAATATGAGGTATTAAGAAAGATGATTATGGTATTTTAGGAAAAACATGTCACATTTTTTATAATTAACTAACATACCTAACTTCCTTAATCTAATCAAACTAGTTAAATGTGTCTTATATTAAGGATCGGAGGAGATGCACTCACATATATATATATATATATATATATAAAGGCGGACTATGTACAATATTAATATATTACTTTGGCTCCTTAATATAAAAACTTGTTGATTAATTTGAGTAGACTAAAAAAACTAGTTAAGTTAGTTATTTGTGATAAATACCATTGATAATTATGTGTATCAGCTAGAACTACCATTTGATGAAACCTTTAACACATGCAACTACTACAAAAACTACTTTAAAAATGAATAAATATAAGAGACAAAATAGATTTAGTTTTTATATTTAGGACCAAATTAAATATCAAATTAGCTTCTATATTAAGTAGTGGAGATAGCATACGTGTAACAGACTATGGCAATACTTTAGCGGATGGATTAAGTTAATACACGTATGTGTGATAATTAGTTGTATGTGTTAATCAAATGTATTAATTGTGCGTGATTTGATTTGTTGATGCCTTCGCAGACACACACTAAAACTGTGGCTTTCTTGATCGGCATTTGGCACACCATGGCCCCGTAGCAGAAAAGACATTCAAATGATACAGCCAAAGTTGAAAATGGAAATTGCAGGATACAAGAAGATGATCAATTAATTACCAATTGCTTTGCCTATGCAGATTATAACCATGTCGATAGTCTAGTTCTTAGGCTGAATTAGGGTTATAGGTTTGTGTTCTCAATGTGCTAGTTTGGCCATTTGGCTGAGTGGCATGTGTGTGTGTTGGAGGTTCGATCCCGTCTTGTTGTAACCAAAAAGAATATAATGGCATTGGAATTATAATTTGTGGCTGTATATGATTGTTTATGGCATTGGGACTTCCTGTTTGAAAAGAATACAAGGAATCCTGTGAAACGAAAGCACCTTCGAAATTGTTATTTTTACGTACCCATTCAAATTTGTCAAGTAGTAGAGCATCTTTCTGCTGGTAAAAAAAAAAAAAAAGCAGTAGAGTATCTTTCATTGGTATCTCTAGCTATCCATTTTTAATGACCCATTTACAATTAACTGAATGAAGCTTACAAACTACTCTTTCCTCTGTTATTTATTTCTCCGGTTTTACCTATAGAGCAAAGGGAGAGTATTTTCTTTCATTATATAAGTTATCCAATTAAATTTATAACATGGATGCACAATTTGCTCTTTATTTACTACTGTTTTAATTATTTCTCACACTCCTCCTTCTTCCTCCAATCCTACTCATTTACTCTCTCTCTCTCCCCTTTTTCATACATAGGGACATATTTTAAAGTGAAATAAATTTTTACATATTTATTATTTGTTAACTAATTTTAATCAATCTTTAATTTATATGATTTAATTATTGGTATCATATGTGTCTATAACCCAATGGAACATATTTTTTTTTATAAAAAAATTAAGTGAGTTGTGTCCTGAAAACTTATCATCATACTACCTCCGGTCCTAATTATAAGAGCCACTTGACTTCCTAATTATAAGAGCCACTTGACTAATTTGAAGAGATTAAGGAAGTAAGTTGAGTTAGTTATTTGTTTTAAATAGGTGTTATCTTTTCTAAAATATCCTTACTAATCAAGTATATTGACTATAACCCTTATTATTAAAAAGGTTATTTTGGAAAGGAATGTATAAATATAAGAGACAAAGTGGATTGAGATCTTATATTTAGGATCAAAATAAAAGTCAAACAGGGCCTTATATTAAGAACCGGAGGTAGTAATAAAATTCAAATTTATAACTTTATGAGTTACGAGTGAATAATTTATCAATTTGATTAATTTTTGTCAGTTGCGACTTGCGACCAGGTGAAGTATTGTTGAAGAGTGGCATTTCAGCGTGACGGAGGGCTGCGGCCCCAAATTTAGCAAAATAAACTTTCACCTTCAGTTATCTGTTTAGCGCCACGAAACACACCACATTCCCATTTAACAACTGTCCACTCCCTTGGAAGTACGCTGCAGTTTCGTTTAACGGAAGAATCATTTTCGGTTTTTGTAAAACAGAAAATAATAATAACAATAATAATAATCTCAAACAAATTCTGTCCTTCTCGACACTTAGACAGAGAACATCGTCGCTGTTGATGATAGGACCACAAGCTGGCCTTATGATGAGGAAGGCAAGATTAAAGGTACAGAGGAAACAAGCATTGCGGTACGTTATAATAATAGATATGATTATAAATGGTATTCGTATCATAAATTTTAAATAACTAATTTATAATAACAAATAATTAGTTAAAATAAATATATTTTTATTTTTAAATATGTCCTTATAATAAATAAAAAAATGAAAGAGAATATGTGAAAAAATATGATAAGAGAGAAATATCAAGGGTAATATTGAAAAAATATACTCCTCCGGTCCTAATTATAAGACCCAATTGACTTATTTGAGGAGATTAAGGAAGTAAGTTAAGTTGGTTATTTATAATAAATAAGTGTTGTCATTCCTAAAATATCCTTGCTAATTAAGTACATTGGCTAAAACTATCATTATTAGAAGGATTATCTTGGAAAAAAATGCATAAATATAAGAGACAAAATGGATTGGGGTCTTATAATTAGGACCAAATAAAAAGTCAAATGGGGTCTTATAATAAGGACCGGAGGAGTATATTAAATGTTAAGACAAACTCAAATTGAAGCTTATAAAATGGATTACACATTTTCTCAAATTTGAAGCTTATAAATAGGATTGGAGGGAGTAACTCTAATTTATTTTGTTTTTTATATTTATTTTTTTCAAAGTAATTCATGTAATAGTTGTACATGTTAAATATTTCGTTAAATGGTAGTTCTAGTTAATACACATGAGTAGTAAGAATATTTTAAAAAAGATAATACTCATTTATTACAAATAAATTTAAGGTCAAAAAAATTTATTACAAATAAATAATTTAATATTTTTTTAATCTATTCAAATTAATTAATTAATTTTTATATTAACAATCAGAGCTAATACTAATTATCACGGAAGGATGAATGAAGCTTTTGAAGAGAATGATAAACTGGAAAAGGGCCTGACGGGCTTGGACTTTAATAAAGTCCACAAAAAGGGGAGTAATATGGGCTAACTGTTCAACTCATAAGCCCGTTGTTGTTGTTCTTTTTGGACAGTCATCGGCTTCCTTTGTTTCGCTGCCCATCTTTTCTATACATTACAATTATCTTGTGCAATGGGGCTGTCGTTGGATTTGGGACTAGGGGATTATTCTTTCTTCATCAATAATGGCGCCTCTCAAGAAATCAAAGAAGATTAAAAGGGGAACGAAGAAGCTCAACAAATGCAGACAGCTCAGCGTTGTTCCTATAGAACCCAGAACCAGTGAGACCGACTGGTGGGATAGCTTCTGGCACAAAAATTCTACTGCTCCAGGTTCCTCCTTTGACTTATTTTATTTACCTTTAAATTTCCCAACTTTATCCATGATCTTCCGGTTCAGCTTTTGTCCGAGTCATTTTCTGGGTCGTTTTCTTTATAATGATTGTTGTCCACAGAACCTTTTAATTAATTGCTTCTATTGTTCTGCGATGGTAATGGGATGTGTAGGGTTTGAATATGTTAAAAGGTTGGTGATTTTCCCCTTTTTAATCGGTGAAGGAAGGGGCAACAAGAAGAGTGAGTGTTGGTCTTATCAAGTGCTTGAAAGTGAACCCACGAACAAGTTAATGGATTAACTGTAGTAGAACTAGAGAATCTTTCATTACCTCTTAGGCAGGCCAAGAAAAAACATAATTCTGCAAATTTATTGGTTAAATGGTTGACTGTTATTAACAAGAAAAACCCTATGGATTGAATGTGAGGGTTTTCTTCTCTCACCCCATTTTCAGGCTTATGAGCTTACCCTAGGCAGATACTTTATGCTTTCTTTGATATCACTTGTTACAGTCCCTTATTTATGTAATGCTCTTTCTGATGACCTCACGGGAGTTATACAAACCTGCAGGATACTCAGTACCCAGTGACGAGGCAGAAGGATTTAAGCACTTCTTTAGGGTTTCAAAGAAGACTTTTGAGTACATATGTTCCCTTGTAAGGGAGGATCTCATATCAAGGCCGCCATCGGGCCTCATCAACATTGAGGGAAGGCTTCTTAGCGTAGAGAAGCAGGTTGCCATTGCCCTTAGGAGACTAGCATCCGGTGAATCTCAAGTTTCAGTCGGAGCTTCCTTTGGGGTTGGGCAGTCCACAGTTTCTCAGGTAACTTGGAGATTCATTGAGGCTATGGAAGAACGTGCTAAACATCATCTCAAGTGGCCAGATTTCAATAGAATGGAAGACATCAAGTCCTGGTTTGAATCATCCTATGGTTTGCCTAATTGTTGTGGAGCCATTGATGCCACGCACATCATGATGACCCTTCCTGCTGTCCAAACCTCAGATGACTGGTGTGACCAAGAGAACAATTACAGCATGTTATTACAAGGCATCGTTGATCATGAAATGAGATTTATCGATATCATGACAGGTTTGCCAGGGGGCATGTCATTTTCCCGGCTATTGAAATGTTCAGGATTTTTCAGACTCTGTGAAAATGGGGAGCGATTAAATGGAAAGGCGATAACCTCAACTGGAGGAGACATGATTAGAGAATATGTAGTTGGTGGATTTGGCTACCCTCTTCTTCCCTGGCTCACAACTCCTTATGAAACTGAGAGTATCGTGAACATTCAGTCCAGTTTTAATGATAAGCACGAGGCTGCAAGGCTGCTTGCTGTGAGAGCCTTCTCACAGTTAAAAGGCAGTTGGAGAATCCTTAATAAGGTAATGTGGAGACCAGATAAGAAGAAGTTGCCAAGTATTATCTTAATATGTTGTTTGCTTCATAATATAATAATTGATAGTGGAGACACTTTGCAACCAGATGTTGCCTTGTCTGGGCATCATGATTCTGGGTATGGGGACCAGTATTGTAAGCATGTTGATCCCTTGGGAAGGACCTTGAGAGATAATTTGGCTAAGGCCTTGCAACATTAAAAGCAATTTGAGGTTCTTGCTAGTTCTGTTAATGCTCTTGTTCATATTCTCTAACATGATTTTTGGACTCTATTCAGTTGTTGAATTGATAGGCTTGTCGTTCTCTTTAATCCTATCTATTTCATAATATGTTAGAAACGCTGGGCTTATAAGGACCATGTTACTGAGCATTTTCACATGATCTATAGAGTCTTCAAGTTCAATGAGTGTGAGATCCTTTTGATATTAAAACAAGAAAGCTATTGTCCTGCCAAGTTTAGCGAAACTATTGTCGGGTGGTATCAAAATAAATAAGATTTCAGGATTTACAATATAGTGCAGCCCAATGATTAAGCCACTTGAATTAGGATCTATTGGAATAGCAAAGTGGACAAACAGGGCATTTAAAAACAGGGATGGTTTTGACTTTTGACCTAAGTTAAACCCGCTAATTATTAATTAAGAAACCAAAATTAGCTAGCAAAGTAACAATTAAGCAAGTGCAACTAGCTGCAAGTTGGAACAGTTTTTGTATGGCACTGGAATGTTCAGACTTCAAAGCTTGGCTATCAAACATCACTGGATGATGGCACTTCTTGTGACTTGTGATGCTGGTTAATCAACTTGAAAAATTCGTTGTTACTTAGTCCTCGAATTTCTGGCTTACAGTATTAGTACATGAGATATCTTTCTGTCAGATATCTACTCTTATCAATGGAACCATCTACAATATATTATACTTTAAAAAAAAAATGTTATAATTTATGCACCTCTATCTGAAATTCTGAACTGAAGGGTAAATAAATTGAAGCGAGGAAATTCAAATGTATGCTGCTGCATTCCGGATTCTGCACTTTCAGTATTTTGGTATTTGACATGTGAAATGTGACTTGCATAAGTGAAAACTGCACTCTAAATCATTTGCGGGTCCAAGAAAAATGGTGCTTTCTCTTTTCTTTTCTTTTCTTATTTTTTACTCTGAAGGGGAAAAAGTCTTTAAGCCTTGGCAAATATATGTTAAACCAATATCACCAAAAAAAAAAAATATGTTAAACCAAAAAGTATATATCATGACTAACTAATCAAGAGGCAAAAGAAAACAAGAATAAAGAACTTTAATTTGAAGGGTTAATTTCTATTCGAATTCGTATATAGCCCTAATTAATTTACATTTGCAAATTACAATCCACCCATGTATGATTCTTCACTATTCATCATCGTTCCTGATCCATTACCACTCACCGGGCTTCCCTTGTATAGTTGCAGGGTAGCCATGAAAAATCCTTGTACGTGTCAATGAATAGTTGTATTTTCACTAACCGTATCGGCTTGATAACGCATATTTCTTTGAATATTTCACGAGGCATTTTCCGGCATTATTGTCAAAGGATCACAAGGCCATGGATTCTGTACGGAACGCATTAGTCTGAGCTCTATTTAGTGGCGAGAGATGATCCTGACGGTGATGATATTCCTGATCATGGGTGTGCTCCGGCGTCGTCAAGGCGTCTCCGAACGACCCGATGTACTGCTGCACCACCAAAACCGACGCCGTTGCGGCGAAATCCGACGAGGCCAACAAATCCCCGATGGCCCCTAACTCCGGACATTCACTCCAGTCCGTCAGCCCCGCCGTCAAAGGCGTTATAATCCCTTGTCCTCTTCCCACTATAAACAAGTTGTGTATATCATCCATCGACCTAATCGCCGCCACAGTCTCTTCTCCGTTATTCACCACTTTCTCCGTATAAGCCAGCTGTGAATCATCGTGCTCACTTCTTATTCGAAACTCCTTCAGAATACTCTCATCTAATCGCTTCTCTCTGTCTTTGTTCGTACCAGATTGTTGCTCCACTGCTTCTTCTCCGGGAACAAAACGCATCACCGTTAGATGTATCCCCGGATGGTCCAACATCCTCCCGGCGTACGACAACGCTTCTCTGTCGTCGGGGCCACCGAAGAACAAAACGACCACGTGGTGGGTGATCTGATTGGCGGCTAATCTGTTAGAGCCTGTAAGTCCTCGGTCGACGAGGATTCCGACGGAGCAAGGTGAGTTGGCGAGCAAGTTCTGGTTGATTGTACGGAAGGCCATGTTGGTGGCTTCCATTCCACCGTCGACAGTTTGTTGTTTGTGGAAAGGGATGATGATGAAGGAGACTCTCTTGTCTTCTGCGAGGTTGCAGATATCTTCATGCATGGTGGAGTAAGGAGAGATTGCTGTTAAGGGCTGGACAGAAACACCACCTACGTGTTGTTCGAAGTTCTCGAAGGCGTTGATGATGTGGTCGGATTGAGCTTGGGTTCTGTTAATGGCGGGGCAGTCTGGTTTTCTGGTGTTATGGACGATAAGCATGGCGGAGGTCCGACCGGTGAGTTCCACCAAGTGGAGGACGTAGGTGCAGATAGGTGATTTCTTCGTCGGGTTCGAAGCTTCGAGAAGGTTGATTATGGTCGGAACGTTCCTAGGAGTGTGGATGCATACTAGGATTCTCAACTCTGCATCTCGTTTTGCTGTCTGGATCGTCCTTCTTTTGTACGACACAATCCTCCTTGACGGTTTGTAAATCAATGACACTAACGGTACTATAATTCCAGTCATCACCAATGTTATTAACACCATGATCGCAAATGATTCATCATCCAACACCTGCAAAACATATAATCAGTTGATTTCACAATATATATAGATATTTATTGTAACTAACTATAATAAAATATATATATGTATTATTCTGTTAATGGCTTACCTTCTGGTCTCTTCCTACGTTAAGGACAACGATTTCGACGAGGCCTTTAGTGTTCATGAGCAAGCCAATGGAAGTACCTTCACGGAGGCCCATCTGATAATAGATGGCGACGGCCAAGGTTCCGATGATTTTTCCGATACATGCAAGGAAGATGACGAGGAAGAGAATAGCCCACGTGGCAGCTCCCTTGATGGCTCCAATGTTAGTTTTAAGGCCACTGATGGCGAAGAAGAGAGGAAGCAAAAGTCCAGAGACAAAGTCCTCAAGCTTCTCGACGAGAGTCATACCAAGTGGGCCATTAGGGATGGCCAAACCATAAACAAAAGCTCCAAACACAGAGTGGGTCCCAATGGCGTCAGTGATAAAACCAGAAATCATAACCCCAGATAGAATCAATGATATGTGGAACTCACTGAAAGCTTCTCCTTCTGGAGTTCTCGAGATTATCCATGAAATTGCTGGTCTTACTGCAAATAAACAGAACCCTACAAAAGCTGCACTTGAAATAAGAACCCAAAGAGAAGCCAACGATGCAGATTGATTCTCAGCCAAAGCAATGGCTAAAGCCAACAGAACCCAAGCAAACATATCATTGATTAAAGCAGAAGAAAGAGCGATTTTGCCGAGTTCTGTGTTAATCAACTTGAGCTCTGCAAGAACACGAGCAAGAACAGGAAATGCAGTTACAGAGAGAGCAACACCAAGGAAGAGAATGTAGGTTCCATGGCTCATGTTTGTCTGATTTTCTTTGTGAAGAAGGAAGGAGAAAGCAGCTCCAATGGCGAAAGGTAAGATCATACCAGCAATAGCTGTGGCCACTGCTTTTTTCCCTACACGTTTTATGACCATAATATCCATCTCTAAACCCACCAAGAACAGAAAATAAAGCAGACCCACATTAGCCATTGTTTCAATTACCATCACACTTCTTAAAGGAAATATCGCATTCGCAAATTTCCCTGTTTGTCCCAGCACCGATGGACCCAACATTACTCCACCCTGATAATAAAAAAAGTAAGTTAATTTTCTGCGTTAATGGATTCAAACGATGAATGTGTGTGTGTGTGTTTCTGCGCACTGACCAGGATTTCTGAAACGACACGAGGCTGGCGAAAGGGTTTGAGGATGAAGACGAAGATGCGAGTGGCGAGGACTACTAAGGTTAACTGTAGGATGAAGAGAGGAAGAGAATAGTCCAAAGGGTTGTCTCCTTGCCAGATGCCATTTGTGGTGACCAGAGTTGGTGCGTAGCAGACAATGTCGTCGGCGGTACTGTTTGAATCCGGCATGTTTTATTATTTACGTTGTTCACTGTCGTCGTCGTCCCGGCCCCAACCACACACACCAACGTCTTCTTTCTGATTCCTCTCGTATGTTCAAATATTATTCCCACAAGGCGAGGCTTAAGTTTCACGAGTCAAACCCACATAATATGCGTCGCCGGCCACTGACCGTTGGTGGTTTTTGGGGGCTGAGGAATTGAGAGAGAGAAAGGGAGAGAGCATGGATGAAGAACTAATTCGTATAGTTTGAGGTTTTGTGTGTGGATGAAAATTGAAAAGAGAAGGAAGAGGGAAGGAGAAGGGAATAAAGGTGGTGGTTGTCCGGTGCAATATTGGAAGGTGAGCTTCGTGCGGCGTATGTTGTACAGAAAAATGGTCTATTTTAAGGAACGCCCTGATTGGGATGGTGGGAGAGGAAATGTTTTCTGGTGAATTTGGCGGGAAATCAGACGAGGGAGAGGGGAAGAGAAATATCAGTGGGAGGCATTCTATAATTACCTATGTGATGGAAGGCAGATCTTTTGTTTTGCTACTTTGGGGCGACCTTATGAATCCGCAGACATTTCAAATGGGTAAAGCCAAGAATCGTGATTCTTCGTGCATGACAGATATTGTGTAACAAGATTTTTTTTTTGGCCTTTTTTAATATTTCATTTTTCACATACAGATTTCAAGTGAATGCCAATTAATAATTTAGGAAAATTAATCCTTTTACCATATTTTGAATAAAGTCTTTAATTAATTGTAAACATTCTCTTTCTTTATTGTTGGATCGAAATTTCAATTCAATCGTAGCTTTGCTTTTGGAAACTGGAACCCATATACTCTGCGTCCCCTGCTCATCCGATCTATGACCCCAAATGCAGTGTTTGGGGATCATTTATACAGGGAGTAACAGTATCAATAGAGCAATTGAGCAAAGTTGAATATTGAAGAGAGAAAAATATATACAAGAACCGTTTGGATTGGCAGTAAAAAAAAATATTTTTAATTTAATTTTTAAAAAGTTAGATTTGATAAAAGTTAGATTGAGTAATATGGTTTATATTTAGATTGATTGTTGTAAAAAAAATCAGTTTGTAAAAATAGAGTTGTTTGGATTATTATTAGAAAAGTAAATTTAATTATAAAATGATAAAAAAATATGAATTTTATTAAATAATATATATAATTTATTCCCTCTCATATGCTATACTTTCTAGTAACATTTTTCATGCATTTTCTATTATTCTTTTTCTAATTTATTACTATAAGACACACTCATCTTGTCCTATATATAAAGGTGAAACTCAATTCTTTTTTAACTTCTTTCTCTACCTATTAACACTTTTCACCAGCTCTATTTTTTTTTTTTCCTTTTTACCATTGAAAAGTCATAAGTAGCAAATTTTTGCTTATGACTTATTGCAATTTTTGATGTAAGAGCACAATGCCCTTCTCGCTAATACAAGTAATCAAGTTTCATCAATAGCATGGTTTGTCTTTTGCAGCACACGATTACCCACAAACGGGCCGATGGGTTTTAAATTAAAAATTGAGGAAAAGCATAAATGGCCCCAGTAATTGTTTTCTTCCTTTTTTGTTTGGTCCCTCCAAATAAATTTTTCCTCCCTTTGCAAATTTTAAACAAAGCTATTAATCTGTGGTTCAAAAAAACAGAGCCTATTATGTAAATTCCTAGATCTGTCACTGGTCAGCTGTCTCTCTGCAAATATAATAATATAATGCATGTATACTCCTTCTGATTTATAATATAAGTGACTTTAACTAATTCATTAGAATCAAAAAAATTATAGTTAACTCATTAAATTTTTTATTTGATCAAGGATTTCTCTTGTAGAGACTTAGGGCATAAAGAATTTATGCCTCTCCCAACAAGTGCGCTTTTCATACCACTTACTATTTCAACTAACAACTTATTAGTAGTTAACTCATTAAATTTATCTCAAATTAAATTTTTTTTTTTTACTCATTATTAAATGAGGTTGTGAAGGAGAAAGAAAAATATAAGGAAAAAAAAGGAAAGCAGGAAGTGGTCGTAAACAAGCAAAAAGGCATTGATGCAAGCTCAGAAAGACAATGCATTCATTGCCTGACTTTACCAGTATCATCTTCATTAGAAAACCACTGATTCGTGAATTCTTGCAGTATATATGGCACAGTACAGATACCCCTGGTTTCTCATACTGCATGTAATCAGAATCATCAAGACATGGACATAAAAGGAACCCAAGTCTAGGCAACTAATTCGGAATTTTGATCAATTTTGAGGACTTGAGATTACAGAAGAATATGGAGCACTACGTTATTCCATTTGAATGAAGATGATAAAATCATTTTACAAAGATCTCAGGAGCATAACCATCATGTTTCCACAGAATCTTTTACCTACCACGTGTCCAGTTCAAATGATGAAATGATGCGGCATGGAGAATTTAAACAACATCCCCGAACTGATCATTTCCCCTGATTTCCCTGATCATTAATTCATTATCTAGTAACTAGTAAAGCATTGACTTTAGAGAAATCACTATTTGAGAAATAAGATATCTATAAAACTTGAGAAAACAATAGCTCATCCTGGTTTGTCGGTCCTATTCGGCATTCTTATCCCATGATTATCACTATTTATTTTCATGGGGCATCTTCTCTCCAACTGCTGCCCTCCAAAACCAAATAGAAATGTAAAAGAGTAGGTCCATTATCTTAATTGCAATCATGTCATCACATAACTGCCACTTATCTTTTGACCTAATATACCAAAGATCGGCCCATGAATGTGACAAGGTTGAAATTTTAGTTAATGTCCAAAATTGCCTGTGTGGCTGTGTTCTCTGAACAAGGATTTGTTTGCACCCGCTTATTTCATAAAAATAAGCTCAAATTAGAGATATGAACCACACTTTCGGTCCCGTTTGGAATTTCAGCCTCCATCAAGGACAAGCTACCACCGAACGACATCCAAAAATACCTGATACTCTAGAACTCATTTTGTAATATAATGAGTATTATATTTAGAAAAGTAGGTCCTAAATAATAGGACTGAGGAGTACTAAAATTTAAAACTCAAGTAAACTTTTTTTACTGACCTTACAAGAGTAGCCATCCATCTTATTTTAGTGTTCTGTTAGATTATGTACAGTTTTGCAATTCTGAATTGACCACCCACTAACCCTTGAATCCCTCCACCGACCGGTTCGCTTTTCAGTTTTCATACCTGGGCAGAAAGACCCAAATGCTTCGCTTCGGCCTTCATACCTCATTAATATCCCTTCAAAAATCCAAATTCCTTTACAGAAACACTTGTTTGGGTGATAATGCCAAACGCATTTCCGTTAGGCCACTTCTCAACCATTCCTATTAGCCGAGTGATCAAAGGATGCTCCCAGTATCATAATCATTCATTCTAAGCACGTCCAACCCCTTATATAGCTTCTGATAACGGAAACCCTAAATGTGCTTGGATCGTACGAAGTGATTTGTACTCCAACAATGTGCCCGATATGGTTACCAATCCGAAAAAACCACATGGGCGAGTTTGCTGGATGAGAGCATCTGAAACGCTAATTTCATTAACTCCATTACTATTGCAAACGAAGAAATTGCCTCAAAACATTCGTGCTAAACACGGTTTTGGGACAGAGTGCGTTTGCTTAACTGACAAAAACCCTAAATATTGCTCAAAGTAGGTACCACTCGCTAATAAAATTACTACTAAGAGTGACGAACAGAGATGTGCCAGTGATAAAAGGGCCTAAAATATCACGAGATATCAAAATCAGGCGAGTGACACTGGCGAATTGGATATCGCAAGTTTGTGAATATTATTGACTGGACCGTAACTTCAACGTCGATGTCCAATCAAGAAGCTGAACTTGCTTTATATAGTTTCCTCCTCCTAAAATCTCAACGAGAATTGAATCCAAAAACGTTTGTCTTTTGGTCCAAGTTCATCAGAGATTCGACTAAGTTAATGTTGGCTGCCGAATCTCTCATGGGTTAAAAACAAACGTTTCGAAACGTTCAATGCAACACAATTTCAGAGACAGAGAAGCACAGAAAGGCAGGAAAAAGAAGTCGGCCATGTTCAGTCCATGCGGAGTTCAGACATTTATAGAGAGATCGGAATTAGGGTTGTTGACAGAGTGGGCTTATTTTGGGCCTGGGCTTAAATCAGTTGTGGCCTGTTAAGGCCCATATTAACCTCATTCATCTTAGCCGAAAAACTAAACCACTAAGAATTATTCGTATTGATTATTTTGATTTTTAATACTATAGTCTATAAATGCCATATTGACTCAATTAAGTTATATCATTTATTTGTGTATCATATTAGCTGAAATTATATGAGTTGAGCTCTAATCTCATTTAACAAAGGATAAAATTCAGATAATTAGTTTTAGAATATATGTATTTTTCATACTTAATTTATCTTGCAACTATATTTTGAAATCTTTTTACAAGTTCAAAATTCACTCCCACTTGTCTAATTTTAGTGAAAACAATAATAAATTCTTATGTAAATTTTATATAACACATTATTGTATATAAAATGATTGCGGCATATTTAGGTATGGTATATCAGTCCAAACAGGTTGGCAAAAAGAAAAAAAATCAGTCCAAACAGAAAAAGAAGATACGGTATAATTTTTGTCCTTATAGTGTCGTGTGAACCAAACATATGATCCTCTGCTAGTTTTTAATCGATTGTTTTTCGAATAATAAAAGTTTTACCTTTTATAAGGCACCATCATACTAGCTAAGAAATATAATAATAAATAGGCAAAAGTATGTTTTTAATCATTTAATTTTATACAAAGTCTCAATTTAATCTCTTAATACTCCTCCGGTTTTAAATATAAGATCTATTTTATATTATATTTGTAATGTAATTTTACATTATAAAATAAATCGTATATTTAAAATCAAAAAAACATATTTTTAGTCATTTAATCCTAAAACTGTTCAAACAAATGTGCCAAAGACGGGAGGTGGTACTCTATTAT